TCACCCCCTGGGATGCGGCTGGCTCTGGGGTGGATGTCGGGGCTGGTATCACACCCTGGGCTGCGGCTGGCTCTGAGATGGACATCAGGGCTGGTATCGCACCCTGGGATGCGGCTGGCTCTGGGGTGGACATAGGGCCTGGTATTGCAGGGCTGGGATGCGGCTGGCTCTGGGGTGGGTGTCAGATCTGGTATCAAACCCTGGGATGCGGTTGGCTGTGGTGTGGGTGTCAGGGCTGGGTGTAACGGGGTCTCTGGGATGGCATCACGCCAGGTGCCATTTTCCACCCTGGCAGTGAGCCTCCCCCCACCCGTGGTCCCAGGGGCAGGGGCCGGAAGGGCTGCGCGGGGGGCGGGCGGCCGGGGGCACCAGGGCGCATCTCCGCCAGGCGCAGGGCTCAGAGCACCCAGGTCCGGGCGGCAGACGTGGCAGTGCGTGGGTCATCCTGCCAGCAGCATGCTGCGGGTCACCCCATGGGGCTGGGCCACATTGCCCCTCTTCCTCGCCCTCCTGTCAGGTAGGTGCCTGGGCGGCAGGGGAGCTGCCGGGGGCCAGGCCAGGGGTGTGGGACGCCTGTTGTCTGGATCCATCGGGCACATCTTCGGCTGCATCAGGGCCAGGTTGGGGCCCTCTAGTACCCCCAGCTTAGATGTGAATAAGGGCTTGTTGTGGGGCTGAGCCCTGGAATCTGGCTCGGGGCCTGGGTCCCATTGCCCCCCCTGCCCGAAAACACCTGATAATAGTCTTAGGTTTGCCCCCCTCCCCCTCCCTGCTGGGTGGTTTGGTTTCCTGTCAACAGGGGCGGGAAGGAGGAAGCGAAACACAGCGGGTGGGGGCGGGGGGGGCAGGCTGTGGGTTGCAGCCCCTCCCAGGCCTGGGGGAGCAGTAACACAGCACTGTGATTAGCAGGGGCTGGGGGGTCCTGTTTTAATCAACGTGAGGTGTGATACAAATGAGGGCAGAGATCCCTCCCCCCAAAAAAAGATTGCTGTGGTGGAACCTAGGTGTCTAGGCCACTGGATCGGTGCCCCCAGCTTTGCAGGGCTGGGGCCGTGACTGCTCCTTCCTGCCAACTCCATGCAAATCAGGGTTACCGGCAGGTGGGGGCTGGGTAGCACCTGGATGCCTGGGTCCTGTCCTGTAGGTCTCAATGGGACCGCACTCCCTGACCCTAACAATGCCCCTCCCCAGGTTGCCTGCGTGGGGTCGTCACATCCGCAGGGACCATGACCCCCAATGCCACAATGAACTGCTCGGGGTCGCCTACAACCCCGCCGTGGGGCAACACCATTGTGCCCGAGCAGAAGGCAGTGGCGAAGCCACTAAAGTCAGACTCCGTGACGGTGGAGACCAACCGGACCGCCCAGCTGCCGTGGCTCCCACTGTCGGTGCTGCGGGTACAGCCTGGCCCCACATCGCTCACGGTCACGGTGGGCAGCCCGGCTGAGCTGCGGTGCGAGTTCCAGGCCAACCCGAACGCCTCCGTCATCTGGAGCCGTGCCTGCAGCGCCAACTGCACTGAATTGCCTGTCATGGTCAATGGCTCAGACTGCTGGATCAGCGTGGATGGGCGCCACGGCACCTCCCTACTCGCCTTCCCCCATGCTGAGAAGCAGCACTCTGGGCTCTACTACTGCCGCGTGGAGGCGGACGACATGCGGGGGCAGTCCTGCGGCACCTACCTGCGTGTCCGCAGTGAGTGACCCACGGGGTGGGACACGGTGTGGCCATACATGCATATGATGCCAGTGTCTGGCGCGGGTGGAAGTGGTGCTAAGTGCCTCCTGACCTGTACATCTCAGGCCTGGGATGTGGCTGGCTCTGGGGTGGGTCGAGGCAGTGGTCCCCTGTAAGGGTGGCTGGGAGGGGGATGGGGGGGTGCAGTTCAGGTGTGGGTCTCACCTGTGCCCTGTTGCAGAGCCCATGCCCACGTCCTTCCTGAACATGCGGGAGTCCACCAAGAACCAGATCATCACGGCCGAGGGCATCCTGCTGCTCTTCTGTGCTGTGGGGCCTGGCCTCTTCCTGCTCTTCAGGGTGAGCGCCTGTCCTGGGGAACCCCGGCATCCGGAGCTGGGTCAGGGGGTGGCCAGGAGGGGGAGCTGGGGGTCATGGCCTCATACCTGTCCCCATCCACAGAAGAGGTGGGCGAACGAGCGCCTGCTGCAGGCCAAGAAGAGCGCATACGAGGAGGAGAACCTGTACGAGGTGAGCAGGGCAGGGGTTCAGGGGGCCAGAAAGGGGCAGCAGGGCCTGGGGGGTGCGGGGGCATGGACCCCCATCCAGACCATGACAAGCCGTGTTGCCTCTGCAGGGGCTGAACCTGGATGACTGCTCCATGTACGAGGATATCTCACGGGGGCTCCAGTCCACCTACCAGGACGTGGCCAACATCCGTGGCTCCGACATCCAGCTGGAGAAGCCATAAGGCCCAGCTGCCCCCCTGCTTCCTGTAGCCCCCTGCCACACGGAGGTGTCTTGGCACCTGCCCTGTGCCCTGCTACACAAGAACCCCTGGCCCTGCCGCTTGGGACCACTGTCTGCTTTGCAGCTGCAATAAAGTGTGCCTGGTGTGGTTGTAGTCATGCCCCTGGCCTGTCTCGCCTGCCCCGTCATGGGCAGGGGGCTCCCTGGTGAAGGGGAGGGGCGAGAGGCCAGTCTGGCATAGGAAGGAGCACCTAGGTGGCATGGGTGTATGAGAAGGTTGGTTTATTTGCTGAAACACGGAGGCTTCCCCCATGGAGCAGGGCATTGGCACAGGGGTATTCTGGGGGGGGCTGGCCCCTGGGATCTGGCACACCGTGCCCAGCGTGGGTACCTGGGGGCAGCAGAGGTCTTTCACCCCGTACCACGATTGTCTCTGTCCCAGACCAGCAGCTCTTGGGGGTGCTTGTACATGTTACAAGTGCCGGCCCAGCACACTCGGCAGTAGATTTTCCCATAATGCTGGAAGGTGATGAGGTTTTGGTCCTTCTCATCCCTGGCACAGTTAACGAACCTGGGGGTTTGCAGTTAGGAAAGTGGCTCATTAAAGTGCTTGCTTGAAAAGCCTCCTGGATTCATGCAGTGAGGGCGACTCACCATGTCCCCAGGGATTCTCTGGTTTCTGGTGAGAAGCCCAGCGCCAGGTGGAAAGAGCTTTGTCCTCCCCATCCATGTGCCAGCTTGTGTCCTCAGTGACCTAGGGTTAGACCGGGCAAGACTCACTGAGGCTGGTGGGCATAACCAGGAGCTGGCCCTGGGCCAAAGCTAGGGTAGAACAGGGTCTCCCACCCTTTGGAAGCAGAGCCCCCTTTAAAGGAGCTCCCACTTCACCCCCTCTGGCAATGGGGTGTGTTATATTAAGATCCAGACATCCCCATCTATAATTCCCAGCCCCCTTTGTTACACAGGGAGCACGTAGCACCATTCAGAAGTTATTAATTAACGGTGCAAACAGAGAGCGCGGCGGAGCTGGGAACTTCCCCTCCTGCGTGTCACGCTGTGCTGAGCCAGGCTGGCACAGAAAAAAGGTGTCATGGGCTGCATGTGGCAGCCAAGAATAGGCGCTGTGGGCTGCTTCAGTCTCCTCCCTCTGGAGGGGCCAAAGTGGAGGCCTGTGGGCAGGGTCTGGGCACCTGGCCCGGGCCACGGGATGAGGGGGGACCCCATCTGCATGCTGAGGTGAGGAAAGCTCTCCTCGCGGATGAAGGGCACCAGGCACTGCTTGCAAATTGGAGGGGGAAAGAGGCAACAGAGAGACCTGTTTGTTCCCTGGGGTGCCATTAGCATTCCCCTCTCTGCACTGAAGGCCTGTATGCACCTGCCACACAGGCCCAGGGGCAGCCAGAGACCAGTTTCAGCCAACCTGGCTGCTTTAAGAGATGTAGGGGGCTTTCAGGATTGGCTATGAAACTCCTGGATAGGCCTGTGCATGCCCACACTGGCGTGCAAACATGGGAGCACACACAAGAGCAGGAGGAGAGGGGACGACGGGTTTGCACGCAGACAGTGGGCAACAGGGGAAGCTGGACAGAAGTTGTGCTGCTTGCACAAGGCATCGCTGTCCTGCAGCTCACTGATTTCTCAAGCTGTAGGTGTGGGCTGGGGAAGATCTGAGGAGGAGGTTGTTATGGGGCTCGCTTGGTCCGTGCAAGGTGGGCAGGGACACCTGCAGGGCCTAATTCTCTGCGGCCTCAGAGTAAATGAGAACGAGGCCTCTGCACGCGAGCACAGGCGGAAACATGAGCCGAGCTGGCCTACCACTGTTAGCGGATACTTTCTGATTATAATTAACTAAGCAGTGACACTATCTTCTGGTCTCGGATGAGCTGGGGCACTGGAAAAGCAGCAGAAAAGGGGCAAAGCTGTGTCCTGCCACTTGCATTTTGAGCTGCTGAGCTGGATTGGGGTGGGTGTCAGGGCAGTTCTGTGATAACTGCCCCAGTGCCCACCCCAATCGGGGCCAGCTTGGCCTCCACCTGCTGTTACAGGACCTCCCAGGAGGAAGCCAAGCCATAATTAAGCCACCCTGTAATTAAGGGGGTGGTGGGAACAGGGATCTAGAGCAGTGGCAGCTGTGACCTGGTGCATGTGGGGGGAAGGGGCCGTGACCTCGGTGGCGAGGGAACTGTCACGAGCAGCTTTTCCCCACCAGAGAGATAACAGGGGTGTTTCTGCATCTCTCTCTCTCAAGAGCCTGGTCCCTTTGGGGTAAGCAGCCTTTTCCAGGCAACTGCAAATGATGCCACCAGAGATGAAAGCGCTTCATAATCAAGCTAATTCCCCCACGCCGGGCTTACCAGTGCTGGGCTCCATGGCACAAACGCCAAATTCTGGGAGCTTTGTCCCTCTGCGGTCTGCTCTGGCCTGGCCTGTTTGCTTTGCAATGAGAGCGGAGATGCAACCGTTTTGGAGCTGTGCCCTGCAGCTGAGCCTGCCTGCGGGGAGGCTAAACCAAGAGCTGCAAGGGGCTGCATGAGAGACATGTCTATGCCCCCCGGCTTGTCAGGATGAATCCAAGGCTTGGACGGGGGAGGGCAGGTCTTGAATAGTCAAATGCAAAGAGGATCCGTAGTGGGCGGGAGAAAAGGTGGGGGTTAGGTCACATCTAAGGTTTAAGTTCTAGGATTTCACCCATTCCGTGGTCGCAGCCTGATGCAAACAGGGCGCTTTTGTCCCAAGCAGGCGAAGTCTGTGCATTCACAGGCAACAAAACTCACGGCCCCGGGGCGGGGGGCTGAGATGATATCTTTTATTAAACCAACTTAATATTTGGAAAAAAAAAAAAAAGAAAGAAAAAAAAAAGTCTTTATTTGCAATGATATCACCTCTACCATGAGTTTTGGTTCCTTTTTCTCCCCCCTAGAGTCTAGACCAATACGGTTACACTGGGATCCCCGTGTGTTCAAAGTACTTTTAGTTTTTAAGTTTGATAACCCGGGTGGCAACACGATGGACCCTTTTCTTTCCGCTTTGAAACCTCGTTTTTGCTGCATCTGAGTATTCTCCTATATCAAAAGAAGGCCGGAGAAGCTGGTGGGAGAGGGTGCCACCGAGCCTGCTCTCTGGTGTCAAAATCAGGATGTTGTTGCGAGGGCTGATTTGGGCTCCCCCTTCCGCTAGACTCTCCCCTCTTCAATTTACCACCTCCGGAAGTGGCAGGCAGCTGAATTGTTCCCTTTTGCATTTGCAGCCGAGCCTAAGAGGGGCCTGCGCAGAGCCACGACCCTGCTCCTGATCCTCCTCCGCTCTGCATCGACACATTTTCAGGTTTTCCCCTCCCCCCAGGCCGTCTTTCAGGCCCTTCATATTTGTACCAAGTGATTTATTGAAACCATCGGCTCATGACTCTGGGCTTCACTTATTACGGTTAACAGTAACGCTATTATCTGTTCATTACTTAATTGTTAGTTGCAGCAGTCACCTCGGCTGGAAGTAGCAGGCCCATAGCTCTTTCCGCGTTCAAGTCGCTGCGGAGAAAATTACGGGGGTTCACCTCGTCAATAAGATTAATCAGCAGAGATATTTAATAAGCTTCCTTGACGGATGTCCTGCCTGTTCTTTTTTCCCTTTTTCAAACTGCTGGATTTATAGGGTGGCCTGAAGGTTCTGACTGGAGGTGTAAGAAAGATTAATATATTTCCAAATGCTGCGAGACAGACATGACTGAAATTATTAGCGTCCCGGTGCCGGGGCCTGCCGGCACTGGCGTGTTCTGGCTGTCACAGAGTCACGGGAACCCGAGACGGGGAAGACCGGTAATAAGGTCGTCTTCTGCGCACCCCTGTCTCCCCGCCGCGCGCTCCCCTGCGCATCCGAGCAGGACCGGCAGCTTATTGCAGTTGTTACAGCGTAATTGGTTTCGCGGCGCGGCGTAACGAGCGAAGGTAGCGAGGTGCAGAATAATTGCCCGCGCTGAAAGACAGAGCGTTAGTTCTTTTCACACGGACGATTTAGCGAGTTAATGCTTCGTTACGTAAGGAGCAGCTCCGCGCCTGCCGCCACGTCACTTAACGTGTTATAAATAAGAGGCAGAGCGAGCGCTCGGAAACCGCCGTTGACTTGGGAGAGGTTTGGAAACCCCGAGTCCGCCCCCCGCCATGGCTAAAAGAGATGTCACCGCGCGGTTCGAGCCCCACCGAATGCTGCGCGCAAGCAGCACGTTTCCTGTCTCCGCGCCGCCGGCGCAGGCTGCAGGCGGGGGAAATGGCCACCACCCCCTCTTTGGCCTGCGTGGTTTGGCTTCGCCCCTTGCCGCGAGTCGAGGCAGGGCGAATGCTTGCTCTCCGGGCGGCTGCAGGAGCAGAAAATGCAACTGGTGAACCCTGCTGAGCCTGGGGGGTTGCAGCGCGCGCGCGTGTGCGTGTGCGGAGGGGGGCGGGGGGGGCTGTGCCACACGGAGCAGACTCCCCCAGGGAGACGTGAATTAATGGAGCCGCCTAAGCAGCGCGTCTCATCGACCCCTGCCCTGGTACCTAGCAGTTTCGGCATCCATCCCTCACCCGACTCGGAGGCGGGGGCTGTGGG